CTTCTTCAGGCACGCGCTATCTAAAAGTCTGTTTTATGAGATAGGTCTATTGAAAAAACTACAATGTGACGGTCAGGGCAGAAAGTCTCGAGGACCATGGAATGTCCTTTTTAGTTATTTCAATAAAAAAATAAAATTTGTTATCATATACCTTTTAATCCTTTTAAATCATGCGATATAACAATTATTGTTATCTCAAATATCTCGGAAACGGTTTATTTTATCGAAGTTTGAGAGGTACACCTTTTTAATGGTAGCCGAACTGTGTAATCGAAAAATTGCATCAAATGTTATAAAAACCTAACCTCAAAGTTTGTATGGGACAATAAGCTTAAAGCAACCCCCGTTTCTACGACACTGTGTTTACTCAAACAATTATAATTATGTGTGAATATGTGTTTTGGTAGTAAGTGACTGTTCGCAAAATATCACCTTTCCAATACTACCATGGTAGAGGTTATATTAAAAAAACTGATATGATAAGTAACACTTTATCACCCTGTATCTTGGAAACATAAGTAATTAGGAAAAATGTTTATTTGGGTTTTTGTCTTATTTTGACTTGTTCAATATTTTCCTAAATTTATGCCAATAAGTTTAGGGACACCTTGTATAACATTCTACCTTAAGGTATTGCTCAACTTCTAACGTAATCTTAAAGATATGAAGAAGGTCTATGAGTTCTCTTTCCAAAACTTGAAAGTGTTCGTTGATTCCTGCAGAATGGGATTGAACAGAATTATCTGTAGACTCCATTCCATCGTATTGGATTTATTTCTCTCTTCAATATTGTTCATTTCTTCAGGAACTGTTACATTTTAAAATGACCAATGACGTCTTTTTTGACGTGAAAAAGATGTAATTTTAAGATGTCTTTGTAGGTGTAAAAGACGCGTCAATTTACTTTATTTTTTAGTTTCAGCAATATTCAAATCTGCACACTTTCAAAAAGATTTAGGTGCAGAAAAGTCAATTTTTCTTGTAATTGGGCTGTAAAATAAGCAATCCAAATATTTGGACAATTTAATGAAATTGCTAGTAATATTTATTTAAAGGGTTAACAAAGGCCACATATATATGTGATACTTATATATCATTTTTTAAAAAATATAATATTACTAGCAATTTCATCGATTATTTCAAAAAGGTAAATTGCTTAGTTACAGCCCAATTGCAAGAAGAATGTTATAATTATACCCCTATGATGACCAAACTTTAGTGTATTTTCTTGTATCTGTTTCATGGTTGTGTAGGATGCTCTTGTATTTTTCTTCTTTTGTAAGTCCGATGGGTTGAGTAATCAAAATCACTCACGTTTAAAGACAATTTCTTTGCTCACGTTGTTTGTTGTATCATGACCCACGTTGATGTCAAATAATATCAACGTTAACGTTGCGACGCAATTGCGACGTAGCGGTTGGTTAGTGCACATGAATAATAGGGGTAGGTAATAAAAGTTTTATCTTTTGAAATTTGATCTAAGTAATTATATATCGAATTAATATATTATTATTAATAATAATAATAATAATTTAAATATTTATTGTTATAGAAAATAAAAAAAGATTTATTATAGATATGACCAAGCAAACTTTTAATGCAAGTAATTTTTTGCATTGGTAAACATAAAAGAATATAATATTAAAAGTTTTATTAGTGGGCTTTCAACTATGATAATCGTTTTTTTCTTAATAATTATAATTAATATAATAATTATAATTATTATAATATATATCTATATTTATAAGAAAAATATTTTCATGTCTTATATTAAATTCGATCCCACTTTTTTTAAAATAGCAAACATGTAGGTACACTACTTTTTATTATTTTTATAATTTTAAAAACGTGTTTTATAAACATATTAAAAAGTAGTGTACAAACGTATTAAAACGTAGTGTACAAGCAAATGTTACGCGTAACATTTGCTATGACGAAAGTCAAAATTATAATTTTCTATAGACGGGATGGTTGAAAAAATATGACTAAAATCTGACGTGTTTATTACGTAACAACCATAACGTATAATATACGTCTTAAAACTACGTTATGTTGACGTCATATCGCGACAAGAAGACGTCAGATGACGAAAAATCCCCAATATTCGACGTGTTAAATACGTCAGCCTGCTACCTGGGTTAGTCTATCGGCATCTGGTTTTATTGTTTTCCCTTCACAGCAAACGGAAAATTATAGAGGTGTATAGGATGACGCCACGTTTGAATATGGTTTTCTAAATCTCCCTACGGTATAGAGTTGTATTCGTCAGTCGAGCGTTTCAATACTCTCCACAGTATAGAGGTCGTAATTTCACTTTTGAACTAGTATTAATATAAAAATTATTTTATGCTTAAAAAAAACTATATACGACATGATTGTGATTTTTTTCATTTTATTAATTAATTAAGCTGTGTTGAATATTTTTCCTAAAGGAATAATTGCCAATGGGCCATTAATTCATTTGTTCGTAGATGCTACAATAACCTGCACTGGTGTGTACTTTTTCATCAACCAGATTTAAATATTACAAAACTAACATATACCAGTGGAGATAGTGCAGGGTCTACCAACAGACCTAATTACTAAATTATTAAAGTTTAATAGCATATCGATCATTTTTTCAACATAACCTCTGAAATTTTTAATACAAATATAGGTACTTAACATCATATCATCTGTGCTTTACATACCTGAGTTGTTACGGTAAATAAAAACCAGACAAAGGAACCAAAGAAAGGAACTATTTTCAACAAAATCATATGCAGAAAGGAGAAAATTCAAACTACTTGCATCCATCAAAAGATCAAAACTTCTTGCAATATTACACCCTCTTTTTATACTCTCAGAAATTTTGACTAGAACAGTATTAGAGAGACTCCAGTTTCTAACTTGGTAGAGAAAAGAGAAGTCGAAACCGTTGCGATATTGCATTGCGCTGTTTTTGTATAATTCTCGGGGACATTAACGAAAATCATTGCCAGTAAAATTCGAAAAGCTTGAGTTTATATGTCTCTGAGGATTTACTACTTGCGTATGTACATTAATGTAACAATGAAACAATTGTTTCATTTGTGTTTGAATGCTATTTAAAAGTTTGTAGTTTTTATATGTTAAAGAAAAATAAAATATTAATTTTCGATTTAATTTAGCTATTAATGCGCAATAAATATTATTTAATAGAATATTATCATTGTTTTAAGTGTCTTTAGCGTTGCTCTAAAGATCCGTGAATGAGCACTAGCGTCATTTTTAAAAATAAATTTATTAGGAGGGATAATACGTTTAAAAAGTTTAAAAAAAATTAAAATATTATACAAAAAGGATCTGCCGCGATTTTTAGCGCTCAAAATTTTGAATAAACAATACTCCTATTTTAATAATCTGGAAATAATTTTTGGTGGACATTCCTTAAAACTCTAAAAATGGCCTTGTGAAAATTTTTCTCTGAAATAGTTTTAAAAATAAAGACCGCTGCACAACCGCGTTACCGGGCAATCTTAACATTAAAGGTGTGAGAGACTAAAAAACCACTGTTGATAGATACCTATATCTATCCCTATAGGGTTCGCGGAGTCTCCCCCACCTTTACCGTTTAGGTTCCCCTTACCAGGCTGTTGTGCAGGGCGCTTTAGACTTTTAAAAGTCTTAATTTCTTTGGCAAAGTCAGAAAACTCAGTATAAGACTTAGCAAGGCAGACTAATAGCAAGACTAATAATAAGACTTTCAGCAGGGAAGTGCTCTAGCGCTAAAAATAAATATTCGGAATTCATCAGATATGTTGTATTTGGTTATTGTAAAACATTTTTTCTTTGTTGTTATAAGCGAATTTTATTGCATTACAATGACACAGTCAAAACATAGGTATACTTTTATGCACTTGTTGAATACATAAGGTGTAATAATTATAATTTTTTGCTTTGCTTTTTTTAACAGTTTGATATTATATTTAGATTAGGCAATTAAAAATACATTTTTTTGTATTCGGCATTTTTTCCCTATCTTGCTTAATTTTCAAGAAAGAAATTAAATTCGTGTATCCGCTCGTTACCATAATTTTTTCAGGGGCGAACAAATAAACCAATCTTAATTTTTTCTTAAAAATTAAACAAGGCAGAAAAATAATGTAGAATATATAGAATATATAGAAAGTTATATTTTTAATTAATCTAAAAATAATATTAAACTCCAAAACAGCAGTACCATACCCAAATTTAATTTTTATCTAGTTGGGATGCCCCAGCACTGCCTTTAAATTTAATAAATTAAATTTAATTACATTAAATGTTACCCATTGCTTAAAACCTGAAAAGTTTTATTAAATTACGCCAAAAGTTTTTGAAAAATAAATTTTTAACTGTTTGAAAGCGCAATAAAGATTATTTATTCACGTTTACCAAATGTTTATTAGAAAAAATTGAACCTACACCTCGCCAAAGTTTTTTGTTTTGAATGCGTTCCACCAACTTCAAATACTGACAGACAGCTGTTTCGACCTTTATTGGGTCTCATCAGTGTCGGGCAACTTGGTGTAGTGGATTTTTTCTTATGAATATTACCAGTGATGGGTCAAGAAAGTTTCTTAAAGAAACTAAGAAAATTGAATGTTTACATAAATGTTCATTATTGTGTAAATAGCATACATGATTGAGCTTCGATTAGCTCAAAAATATACCGAAAAATTATTTTACGAGCAATTTCAATGAAATTGTTGCATTGTAGAAATAATGTATGATATGACAATTGTTGAGGCAAGGGCGGCAAAAACTATTCAGCCTATACCTTGAAAATTTGTAAATCCGCCACTGTCTTGAAAACAAAGCTTTAAAACATACAAGTTTATAAAAACTTTGATTTATATTTCTGCGAGTTCTATCGACTACTAAATTTTCCCAGTTAAAATCTTAGACAACCTGTATATAATTATAATTAGAAACTTATGAATCTATTCATGCTTTTTGTTAAAAATGTAAACTGCAGTTTTACAAAAAAAAATGTTTATAGTCGATACACATTTATTAAAAAACTTAATTAACTGAACAATTATACTATACTTATTACAACAAGTCCTCTTCTGATCTAATATATTCCCCTATGTCAGCCTGGTGAAAGCATACTGAGGACATAGGGTCAGCATGTTTACATTCAGCTGTAGATCTTGCAGCCACACCAAATCCTAATGGTAAATCAGACATACTGTAAACAACAACACCTTGGTATTTTTCCGCGTTTTCACTAATTCTTCCTAAACCTGATTTTGCCACATGGTTTCCATATAAAAATTGTTGTTCTGCAGGTGCTTTTAACCAAATTTTACCCTTGAATACGAATTAAATCAGCATTTTCTGAAATATGTTATTGATAGTATCATACCTGTGCATATGGCGCCAAATAACTCAATGCAGTTACATGTAATCTGAATTTGTTTGACTTTGTGAATTTTCCAAAACAAGTTCCAACAGATATTAAAAACTCTGGTTGAATTGTATTGGCTAACTTTAAAATTTTCTCTGATACATAGTAAACTCTGTCTTTTTGTTCTCTAAAGCAGTAAAGTCCATCAGGCCTATCAATTAAAAGTTTTACATTTTGTCCAATGCTGTAAATGTTACAAGTTTAATATTTATCAAAAATATGTTATCAAATAAATCACTAACTATTTTGCCAATTTTTCAAATAAAATTTTTGTTCTTTCTTCTGATAATCTCTTCATTTTTAATCTTACACATGTGCACACTTTTAAATTCAAAACAAAGTGTTAGGTTAAGTTTACTTAACCTTATTCTTTCAGGTCGCAATGTTGCCAAGTTGTAAGTTTGAAAAATTAGTTGTATTTTCCTTTTCAATTAATTTAAATATAATAATGTTATGTTTAAATTATAATAATATGTTAAATTATATTGAAGTGCATGCCTTTGCCACAGGTTCTTCTGTGCCTTTGCATCAAAAAGTCTTTACACCAAAAGCACCAGCATCAAAAAGAAATCAAGCAACGTTGTGAATCACACCTTGTGATCAAAAACACCATCGTTGTGATCATAGAAATAATAGTAATATTTCTATTCATCTATCATGTTTAGATATTCAGTGCTACCAACCAGAAGTAAAAAACTAAAGGTTTTTTTATACTCTTATGCTTGTTCCACGTTGGAACTTCCTCCACCAAGTATTAGATATTGCATTTAAATACAAATTTGTCTTTTATTTAATCATAAACTTAACTGGTTAATTTAACTGGTATTTAATAAAAATTTGTATTGTTAATAAAACACCCTAAAAACAAAAAGCAATTATTATAATTATTATTTCGTTATTTTATCCGCAATAATAGTAATCAAAGTTCTTTGATAGTAATTATAATTACAAAATAACAATTAGGTATTACAAAATTGGCACAAAGACAAACAGTAACTTTTAAAATAAATTAAAAGTTTTAATACACGACTATGTTGGCAGCACTGACTCTAAAAATTAAGGCTGTCATTTCCTGAAGAAATAAACGGATAACCGGTTCGACAAGTTTTGACCGGTTTCGGTTCAAACCGAATTTTTTTTATTATTATAACCGGTTCGGATATCCGGTTAACCGGTAACCAGTCCGATTATCTGGTTAACCGATCTGATCAAACGGTCGAGCCGTGTTTTACTAACTTTTAAATGTTTAATTAAGTTTTAAAAACATGTTTATCAATATTGATTTTTTCACTTCGATATGACATCGTTATTGTGTTTTCAATATATCATTTGATGTCAATATCGATGTTTTAAGAAATTTGGGCATCCCTAGTAAGAGCTCAAATTATGAATGGTTTGTTTATGTTTAAGGTCGCGCTTAAACCGGTTTCAGTTACGGTTAAACCAGGAACTGTTAAACCGGTGACAGCCTAATCGGTCACGATTACGGTTAAACAGGTTACTGTTAAACGATTACGGTTAAACCGGTCATGGTTAACCCGGTTACGGTAAGTTACCGTCGGTAACGTTCTTTAACAGTTTTTGGTCCTACGAAACCAGTTGCCAGATCTTGCAAATATAAAAGCGAAGTTAGGTTTTTTAAAATTATTTAAAAATCGGAATTTTCGACCTGCAAATCGAAACGCGGGACAAATCAGGTCAAATAGAGTAATTGCATCAAAAATGAAAATCCCTAAAAACCTTTTTATTGTAATCTAGAGGTAAAAACACATTGCGAAAATATTTTTTTATATTCCAAAAGTTCAACCCGGCCCCAAAATATCAAATTGAAAAAAAGGTACTTTTCAAACGTTCCGAACTCCCGCCATATTGCATGACGTCATAAGCTTCACCAGCTGTCAGAAATCAAGATGTCAACAAATAATAAACACCGATAAAGTTTATGTTTAACATGGAAAACGCGAAACCAAAAATTGGTTGTAAATATTGTTTTGTGCCTTGTACAAATACAACCTGGAAAACTCCTGGGAAAAGGTTTATCACCGTGCCAAAAGGGAAAATAAGGATAAAGTGGATTAAAATAGCTCGGCGCGATATCAAAACATCGTCACCATTTTATTGCTCATTTTAAGGATCATGCATTTTAATGTAAGTAAAATAAAATGTCGTTTACTAGGTATATGGTTTGAATAGGTATGTTAAATATTAATAAATTCAAGAAAATACGGCTGAGCCGTAACTACTCTCAGTGTAGGGTCATAAACTTTGCTTTTGATAATTGAAGGGACAACTTTCCCAGAAGTTTTCCAGGTTGTATTTGTACAACAAGGCACAAAACAATATTTACAACCAATTTTTGGTTTCGCGTTTTCCATGTTAAACATAAACTTTATCGGTGTTTATTATTTGTTGACATCTTGATTTCTGACAGCTGGTGAAGCTTATGACGTCATGCAATATGGCGGGAGTTCGGAACGTTTGAAAAGTACCTTTTTTTCAATTTGATATTTTGGGGCCGGGTTGAACTTTTGGAATATAAAAAAATATTTTTGCAATGTGTTTTTACCTCTAGATTACATTAAAAAGGTTTTTAGGGATTTTCATTTTTGATGCAATTACTCTATTGATTAAAATCGGGAAAGTCCCGCCTAAATCGGGACGTCTGGCAACAACGTTTAAATGTCATTCATTTAACCTTACTTTATATTCTTACTTTTTTACTCTGTTTATATTGATATAAAATGTTTAAGGAAGTAATGAAATAAAATGTATAGAAGATATTTACATGTTTTTAAGCATTTAAATAAATACAAGAATTGTGCGGTCAATAAAATAAATTATGCCCAGTACTATGGCGCCAAAGATATTTTTAGTTTTAATAATATTTATCAAGGGTAAAGTTGCTTTATTAGCTTTAAATATTTTAATATTCTGTATGTTTTAGGGTTAGATGTTTAAATACTCAACATCTTAATGACGATTTGGAAACATCATCAGACCAAACAAAAATTAAAACAAATGTTAAAAATATAAAAGATTTGTTAAATACCAACTTGGTAAGTGGAAATGTATCTTCCTTAAGGTTAATTAAAAATCTACTCCCATCTACAAACTTCGGTAATATTATAAATAGGTAGTATGGCAAAAAATATTAATAATTATTATTTAACAATTTTAGATAAATATTCTCCCGATGAAATAATATTACTATTTGAATGCGCTGGAAAATTGGCATATAATTATTCCAAAGAAGAAAGAGATGATTTATGTCAAAAGCTTGTTAAGTACCTTCCTAAATTTAATAAACTTGATATTAATATTTATCATAAATACCTGGAAATTTGTACAGAAAATAGAAGTTTAGTAAATCCTAAACAATTTTTAAATAATTTAAGATGTGAACCAAATTCAGAAACATACAAATTACTATTAAGAAATGTATGTGAATTTGGGGATTTGGAGACTTCAATAATTATTTTGGAAACTATGAAAGAAAAACAGATTCCAATTGATGAGGAAGTCTTTGCAAATCTTGTTTTGGTTTATATATTAAAAGGGTATTAAACATTACCTACCTAATATTTAAACAAACTTTTTAAAAGTTAAGTTTCTAGAGGTTTAAATGGGGGAGAATCAGTTCTAAAAACAATGAAATCAGCACAAGTGCCTGAGACAAAACTGACAAAATTAGCTATATTCAAAGGTTTAGCATCAAGATTGGATTTTAACGAGTTTAAAAATGCTTTGCATAAGTATCCTGTTGAACTAGATGATGTGGATACTTTAGAGTTATTGGAATATTTAGGAAGTAATGGAAACTACAAATGGATTTCAGAGGTAAATATTTGGCTAGAAATATGAGCACCATTTAATTTAGATTACTGTAATTACAATAATAAAAAAATAATTCCAGTTAAACTAGATCTAGTTAAAAACCCTATTGAGGCTTCCTTGCTACTTGGACATAATTAGGTTCCAGTGCACATGTCATTTTATATAATTTATAATAAATATAACATACCCATACAGGGTGTCCCATAATTAGCATGCAATTCTTTAACAACAGATTCTAATTACAAAAATAAGAAAAAAAGTTCTTATAAAAATAGGTTGAGAAATGCTTTCCAAGGGAGCTACAGCCCCCGAAAGAGAAGCCCCTGAAGATGGTTTTTATTTAATATCTCCAAAACCATTTAAGATAGAAAAGTGAAATTTTGAGATATAATCAAACTTTTTATGGCCAATAAGTTGGAATGATAACAAATTCAAAATTTTCATGAGGGGTGGGTAAAACTACCCTAATTTTTTTGTATGTATCTTGTGCTATGATTTGATATCATATCATAAAATTTCAAAGTTTTACACACAAAAAAGTTCATCTTGATAAACTTTGATAGCATGCACCGTTTTCGCTTAAAATCGATTTAAAAATTACCTTGCATAGCATAAAAATGAAATGAAAATGAAATCACAACTAAAGAAAAAGATTTAGCATAGGCCATGGACAATTTTTAAACACCCTGTCATATATTACATGAAACTGTTACCTGTCTTAATTAATTTTTCCTAAAGATGGCAGCTGTGTTCCATGGCCTATGCTGAATTTTTCTCTCTTGTGAATTCATTATGATCTTTTTTCTACTCCCACCTTTAAAACGCCCTTTATCGTACATGTTTCCAAGACACTAAGTGACCTTTTAAATACACATTGACAAGTTGTGGCTTTATGGCGCTTTAGTCACGGGCTGAAGTTAGCAACAGGTTTTTAGTCACGGGCTGAAGTTAGTTTTAAGTTAGTTGACAGTTGTCAAATGACTAAAATAAATTGCCCTTCTTGTAAAATAATACTAAATGTGAAAATTATTTTATTATCTCAATACAAAAATACAAAAGTATTAAATAGTTTCTCAACGCCAATATTTGAAAAGTTTATATGAACATTGTACTGACCTTTTAATTTCGCCGGCAGTAAACTATAACTTAAATTCGGGAACGGACTCCACTGCTCATAAAACATTTTCTTTACTTTCACTGTGAAAATTTTCAAGAAATGCATTTCGATTTATAACCTTATCTGTTTTTATAAAATATAAAAATTTGACATTTGACGGTGACACACAGATTCCCCTATTGTTTCATAGATGGCGCTCTATACAAATTTTTGATTTAAATCATTTTAAGATAATAATAACTATTTGTCGTAGAAAAAGAATAGTATGCACCTCGTTTATAAACTTTTCTATACACTCATTAATTTAAGCACTCGCTCGCAAGCTCGCTCGTGCATAAATTAAATTCGTGTATAAAGTGGCGTTTATCTAACTTGATACATAATATACTATTATGCTATGCAAGGTATTTTTTAAATGGATTTTAAGCGAAAACAGTGGATAATATCAAAGTTTAACAAGAGGACCTTTTTTATGTGTAAAACTCCGAATTTTTATAATCTGACATCAAATCGTAGCACAAGACACGTACAAAAAAGTTAGGGTGGTTTTAACACCTATTCCCTATCTATCTGACCCACCCACCCCTTTGAATTGTTATTATTAAATCTTATTGGCCATAAAAAGTTTGATTAATTCCCAAAATTTTACTTTTCTATCTTGAACAGTATTTGATATATTAAATAAAAACCATCTTCAGGAACTCCTCTTTTAGGGGCTGTAGTTCCCTTAGAAAGCATTTCTCGGCCTATGTTTATAGGAACTTTTTTTCTTATTTTTGTATGTGGAATCTGCTGTTAGTAAGTATTGCACGATAATTATGGGACACCCTGTATATATATATATACAGGGTGTCCGGAAAAAGGAGGTCAATCCGCTAACCATATATTCCTTGAGTTAAAACAATAAGACTTTTCATGTTCGATATGCAGGGCGACAAAGTTTGAAATTTAAAACTGATTTTTTTAAATAATTTGAGTAATTGATAAGATATTGAGTTCAAATTCGGTACACTTCTTTAACATAAATAGTTACATCTGTTAAGAACAACAAAACAAAAAACAATTGTCAAATAAACAAAATAGGGGGGTCCAGTACTCACTGACTCCCCCTTTTTTTTAGTGCGTGCGCCAATGACTTCCAAACTTTATTTTTTCAAGTAATCATTTATTGGTGATTATTTTTTGTCTCTTTTAAAACTTTGATAAAATGATTTGTTTTAGAGATAATTTGTAAAGTATTGGTCCTTGATTGATGCCTAGGCAATCTCATAATTTTCAAATACTCTAAATCAAGTGAGCATTATCATTGATACAATTAAGTAAAATTTTGCAATAGGTAACAATATCTAAAACTAGCCAAAAATAACCCAATTTCAGTGACTTACAGATAAAAATAATAATAAACCAGAAAAATTAAATTAATTTTATTGCCCTAGGAAGAACAATAATTACTAATTTTCTTTACATAACAGTAAAACGCCACTATTATCGCCAGTTCATAAGTCAATAATTTACTATCATTTTTCAAGCATTATAACAAGATAATAATTATTTAAAACATATTATTTCCTTAAAATATGTAAAAAGTTATAACTTTGGTAACTATAGTAACCAAAACAAAATATATTTTTATGAATACACAGCCCTCTTTATTAAAGAAAATCTAAGCCTACGAAAAATATTTGGCTTTAACCTGAACTCCTCTCCTACTTGAAGGATTCTTTCTCTTAAATGATTTTCGCTCAAAATCGGAACCATGTACACAAAATATATCATTCATCTCCAGACCAAATAGTCCAAGGGGGTAAGGTCTGGGGAACAGGGTGAAAATTTAACAGGAGCATATTTACCCCGACCAATCCATTGATTAGGAAAGATTTAATGTAAATAGTTTCTAACATTTCTAGCAAAATGCGGAGGAGCACCGTCTAGTTGAAACCAAATATTTTGTCTTACCAGTAGAGGCAAATCATCAAGTAAATCGGGCTGTGTATTTTGAAGAAATATCAAAAATGAATGACCAGTCAAATTTCCTGGTAAAATTACAGGACGTAAAAGAACGACTCCTGCCCACTCATTGACTATAAAATTTACTTGATGATGCGTCTCTACTGGCTCAAAATTGTGTGCCACTTAAAAATTGATGGTCTTATTTTTTATCGGTTTCCAATCGGTTTAGGGGTAAAAACAACTTTCCTAAAATAGTTTTGCAAAAAAATCGATTTTTACAATTTACTTCTTGTGGATGTTTTTTTCAAAAATTGATAACTCCTGAACCGTTCATCAAAACTTAACATTTTTTGTATCAAAATTTTTGTTGAAAAATACACTTTACGATACAAAATTTGTTGTTAGGGAAAAACCTTTTAAAAAAAATGAAGCTATTTTTTTTAACAATTGAAAATTAATAAAACTTCTCCGCCTGCGAGGAAATTTTTTCACATTTAATCTTATTTTACAAAAATGTTGGTAAAAAAAAGTTATTCTTTTGTAATAGGTCAAAAGCTATAAATGTTTTTGTGACCGCGCTCCGACCTCTAGCGCTGGACAAGCACGTTCGGACGCGCGCTTGTTATAATGCTTCAAATTTATTTAAAAAGTGATAATAAATTATTGACTTGAACTAGCGATAATAGTGGCGTTTTACTGTTATGTAAAGAAAATTAGTAATTATTATAAGTTCTTCCTAGGGCAATAAAATTAATTTAATTTTTCTGGTTTAGTATTATTTTTATCTGTGCGTCACTGAAATTGGGTTATTTTTGGCTAGTTTTTGGTATTGTTACCTATTGCAAAATTTTAATTAATTGTATCAATGGTAATGCCACAGCGGCTCACTTGATTTAGAGTATTTGAAAATTATGAGATTGCCTTAAGCCTCGTAGGCATCAATCAAGGACCAATACTTTACAAATTATCTCTAAAACAAATCACTTTATCAAAATTTTATAAGAGACAAAAAATAATCACCAATAAATAATGACTTAAAAAGTTTGGAAGTCATTGACGCACGTACTAAAAATTAGGGGGAGTCAGTGAGTACTTTGATTATTTGACAATTGTTTTTTGTTTTGTTATTCTCAAAAGATGTAAATATTTATGTTAAAGAAGTTTTAAATTTTAAACATTGTCGCCCTGTATATCGAACATGAAGCTCTAAATTGAAAAATGGTATTATAAAAGTCCTATTGTTTTAACTCAAGGAATATATGGTTAACGGATTGACCTCCTTTTTCCGGACACCCTGTATATATATGTATTAGGGTGGTCCTTATTTAGGGTGTGTTCGAATTTTTCTTCACAATAGTCCTAAATAGGTTCCAAATATATAAAAAAAATAATGTGCCAAATTGCAGCTCTTAATTTTAAAATTAATTTGAATCATCAAACCACAATAAAAATGGAAAAACCATGGAATTGACTAGAACTTCCATTTTGACCTCGAATAACTTTTGAACCAGTTAAGTTAGCACAAAATCACAAGAAACCTTTTTTGTAGAGCGTTAAATTTGTTACAAGAATATTTATCCTTCTATATAATCCGTTTATTAGTTCATGACTTAAAAAAATCCAAAGTAATAACAGAACTTTTCCCGTGTTATTTCCATTTAAAACTTTGGCTGTCGGGGAGGCCGGCTTAATTTTAAAATTAAGAGCTGCAATTTGGAACATTATTTTTTTTATATATTTGGAACCTATTTAGGACTATCGAGAAAAATTCGAACACACCCTAAATAAGGACCACCCTAATATATATAGGGTCTTTCACATTCGTGGTCCATTAGAAGTTTCTGGGGAATGAAAAAAGATATTAAAATTAAAATTTTAAAAGAATTTATAAATTTAAGTCTATTTTTCTAAAATATTTTAAACAAAATGCCATTCC